AGGGGGGGGGGGGGGTTGGAAATGGTCTTGGACTCTTGTTGTTTGGAATAAGATATGTGGGGAGAGTGTGGGGAGAGTAGATAGATAACGGTTGTTTTGAGATTTTTGATCGGTATATCTATAAATACCTATATTTGGTTAAGATGAAACTTGATTTAGGGTAAGAGTTTAGAGGGTAGTTTCATTTATAGGGTAATAGAATAAAAGGCTAATATCTTTTAGAGTTTATATATATATATATTTATATTTATTACTATTTAAAGTCAGGCGGATTCTAGCTCGCGTGGGCTAGGTCCTAGAAGAGTCCCAAAATAGGGCAAGTGACGCTAGGGGGGTGCCCTAGGCTACAGGGGGTGTAAACGAATGAGCTAATTTACAAGAGACAATTTAAAGAGAGGTTCCACTTTCGGAACAGCCCTTATCCTTAATTAGTTTTAGAACCAGGGTAAGACAAAGGAGATATATAATTAAACGAGAAGGAAAAGAAAAGGAGGCGTGTCTGACTAGAGACAGATTTTGGTCTAGAATTCGATCTTAAAGTAGACCAGGCTAAAAAGCTTCTCGCAGTGATGTCCAAAGAGCAGCTGGGGGTTCTTCTTGGCCTTAGCTAAAAGCTTAGGGTCTTTGTTGTTTGCTAGCTTGCAGAAGAGTAGGTGGAACTGGGTCTTAGCCTTCTTACACTTACAATTCCCTAACTCAAGTAGCGAGTCGAAGTGAAAGTAGCGAAGATGGTAAGCCGTAAAGTCTCCATGTCCAGAACGAGCAGCAATTAAGCGAGCGAGGACCTCTCTAGGTAGCTGGAGAGATTTAGGCTTTGAGGACCAGGTGTAGAGCCCTAGGTCCTTATAGAGAGCTGGAAGTGTCGTGCTCCAGAGCTTCTTCGCAAGCGCAATCCCTGTCTCCTTTACCTCTCTCTTAAGCGTGGCTGTACAGAGTAAAGGGGAGGGTTCAGGAGAGGGTAACCGTGCTGCTCTCCCTGCAGCTTTATCTGCAATCTCATTGCCTAGGATCCCTATGTGGCTAGGGCACCACCTTGTCTGTATTTTCCCAGGGTACAATTGAGCTAATTCGTTGACCTTGTTGAAGGTTTCTTGCGAGGTGCCGCAGGATCGGTAGGTCAGCTGTAGGGTAGCTTCGAGGTTGTCGAGGCAAATCCAGCACTTTCTGGCCGACGACCAGAAAGGGGAGTCCAGGGCTAGTTCTAGGCCATGTAGAGCAGCTCTAGCCTCTGCATCATATATCTCTAGCACCTTGCCAAAGGAGAAGATCTTAGTGTTGAGAATAGCCCCTCCTCTTGTTAGACAGACACCCCCGCCAGTGCTCTTGTCGTCTAAGCGAGAGCCGTCAGTGAATACTACTAGATCAGTAGAAGGAACCAGAGCTAGGAATTCAAGGAATTTGGCCTTAAAAGAGCTCTTGTCTCCACCAGGGTCAGGTCCTACTACTTCAATAAGGCGGGCCTGTCGGTTGAACCCCCTGTCCCACGGAGGGTCTTGTATTGGGTCAATCTCTTCAGAGGGAGGGAGGGCTCTATAAGAGCGATAGATAAGCCTAGACTTAGGGCTAGGGCTATTCACACATCGTTTGAGCGGGTGGGCAGGGTCTAGCCGCCAGATCCTGCTTCTAGTGCTTTACTTCTTGCTATAAGGGCAATTTCAGGGGCTAGGAGGCCAGATTCCATGACGAGAACTGAGATAGGAGTAGTCTTGTATACTGGGGGGATAATCCTAGCACACTTAGCTACTACTCGGTCTAGGAGAGTTAGGTGACGGCCAATTCGGTTATTTGTAGTCCCTCCTTTGGCTCTTGCTCGTCCAGGGAACCATGTTTCGCTTCCAAAGTAGGCGATTAATAGAAAACAAGCGGTAGTCGCTTGTTTTAGTAGGTAGGAGGGAGACCCTCTTATTGTGTTTGTTGTTGCTTTTAGAGCATTAGCTACTAGCGTAGCCTTACTTGTCATCCTTTTAACATGGTTGTAGAAAGTAAGACGAGGGTCAAAGAAGATGCTAAGCCAACGAAGCTCTTGGGTTGGCTCTATTGTTCTGCTCCCTACTATAATAGAAGGCGGAAGGTGGATCGTGAGCCAAACAGGCCCTTAAGTTAGTAGAACTTATTTTACGTCTTAGTGTTATTAGAAACGAACTTTAATTATATGAATATTGTTAGGAATAGGAGATAATATATGATCTTATACGAGATATTTATTTTATGCTAGTTTTTATATTAGATTCTTCTTGTTATCTATATCTGAACCTTACTCTTGCTTTTGTATATCAGCAAATCTGCTGTAGCACCTTACTCGACCCAATTAACAATGAACTAAATCCCTAATATATAACTGTCGCTTTATAATAGTGAATGATTATTAGCTAACTCCGAGCGTAGTTGCTCCTTTAGGACTAGCGTGCTTTACTAGCGTACTTTAGTACCTATAAGTACGTAGGTACTTAGCTAGCTACACTTGCTTCGGCATACAACCTTGGAATTAGCTATTACCCTTAGTAATATAGGTCTTTTGTATCACACTTTATTAACGATAAGTCAAACTAATAATAACCTTTGGGTAGAAACCCACCCTATCTCAACCCTCAACATTAGAATCAAGCTTGAATCCACCTCTGCATCCTTTTTGAAACAACCCGTCAACATCATACTTCTTACTCACCTCTTCCAAGAATCGCTTATTCTCCTCGCCATACCCATCAAACGGCCGCTGCCAATCCGTACAATAATTCAAGTACCGATACCGATGCGCAGTATCATTCGCCATCGCAAAAGCATCAATCTCATTCAAAGTGGACCGTGCCATATCCCTCATGAATTCATCATCTTCCCGCTCATCCCAGTTGATTGTGAAACTCACGAGAACGAGACTCTCTTCTGTCTCATCCAGGCCTAGGGGGTTGGAATATCCTTTGCGCACCTAGGCTGGCAGAAGTGGCTGTATGAACAGTGTCCAGGCTAATCCTTTGACATTTCGATCACACAGTGCGGGAATAGCGTTGCTGTAAGCTGCGTGTGCGCCCGTCAGGGTGGTTGCGTCGTTTTTGATGGTCGTGGTAATGAATATCTGACGTCTGCCTGGAGGGTTGAGAGCGTTCAATTCATCGGTTGCACTGGAAAGACTTTGGGTCTTGCAGGTACTCCATAAACGCCAGAGCGAACTGAATGGCGAATTCTTCCAGTACGTAGGCCACTTTCGTAAGTTCAGAGGCGGCGAAGTGTTCACGAGGTTTACTGAGATGGCTTGGATGCCTAGACTATGGATATATGAAAAGCAGACGATTGGGCCTGCAGTATTCTCGCTCTCGGAATGGGAGCTGTTTGGTGGAAGGCGGCGAGAACCTTGGATGCCTGGAAAGAGGGCAGGTAGAAAAACCGCTCCATATATCTGCGCAAGGAAAACACTTGACTGTAAAGCTTGTGACGATTCCGAAATTGTTGCCACCCCCTTTAAGAGCACGCCATAGATCGGGATGAGTCGATTCAGATGCTTTAATGACGGAACCAGAGGCCAGTAGGATTTCGTAGCTGATGACATTGGAACATACCAGGCCGAAACGGGGAGTAAAAAAGGAAATCCCTCCTTGTACAGATTAGAAAAAGAAGGGCCATTGCGTTGAGATGAGAGGGGGAATTTGTTGATTTCACATCTCGATCAGAACACAGCAATTGCTCACCTCCTAGTGTTAAGCCTCCTACCCCAACAGCAGAATTTCTACCCCCAACGACAGCAAGACCCTTCTGATCAAGGACTTTCGAGACATCCCCCTATTTGCATCCAGCCCCTATTACCACACTCTTCCCGTCGTCAGACGGCGTCACCTCGCGAAAGAGTCTGAGATCAATAATGATGCCTCCTTCTATACTCGCAGCGCCTGGCACTGGTGAGTGGCCACCGCCTCGGACGGCAAAAATACCAGTATGCTTTTCTTCTGTGCCGTTGGTTCCTTGTTTAAGGTCATCAAATGCCCGTTTTAGGATCGATACTATGGTAGAAAGCTGTTCGGTATTTTGAGGTTGGATGATACATGCTGGAATCACCTCACATTCCTGCTTGGCCCAGTAGACAATCATCAGCTGTCTGAATGCATCGGTATCATCGGGAAGAACTATTCTGCTTGGGAGTTCTGAAAGGAGCTTTTTGACGATCACGGCGAGTTCAGGTACGAGGGAAGTGGGCTTTGCAACCGGGTGTCCGGGTTTCTTTTCGCTTGGGGATGAGTCGAATAATTGTGAAATGCGCATGATGCATAAATGAGCGACTATGAGAAATAGTAATGTTATGGTGATAATTGACCAAAAGCTTCCAGATAGTGACAGGCTCATTTTCGTAGAGGAAAGCAGATCTGGTAAAGAGAGTACGAGAAAGCAACACCAAAACCAACAAGATAGCAAAGCCTGTAGGTGCAGGTGTCGGGTATGGCGTATCTCTCACGTGACCGAGCCGGCTAGGTAAATCGTGGGAGTTATTGGCAATAACAAGCTATTTCTAAGTACATGAATTGCAAATTACCCCCTAAGTACCATCTGTGATGCAGCTACAGTATTAATCATATGCAAGCCTCTTTTTCTTTGACTCAAGGTTCCTTCGTAGCCTGCCGGGAGGAAAATTATGCCCTATGCACCCGTGACCCGCCAGCCCTCAAAATTTCTCTAAAAAGCCAATCTACCTATCTCCACCTCTATTTATGTCCCGCTAAACATCACATTATCAGTGGATTTCTCTAGATACAGACACCTCTGAATTGAGGGCCCCAGAACCTGCGAAAGCTGGCTCGCTCGCTTGTACCTCGGCGGGCAGGTAGAGATACTGTACTATTGAAATCCGATGCTAATACTACGGTGCTATCCTAAGTTCCAAAGCTAAATAAAGTCACCATCCCGCTTGAATTCCAACTGAATTCTACCATGTATTGAATCCCGAATTTGATTTCATTTTCTGTATGGTACAGTATACCGACCAACTATCACCAACTGTGACCAACATATGACCAACATACGACCAATTGCTACAAACTGCCGTTGATGTACCAGTCAGGAGTACCACAATACTTTTCAACGCAGTTCCTCTCAGATATGAAGCTTAAGAGCCCATTTCGACAGGTCCTGGTAGCCAACAAAAAAGAAAGAGAGAAAAAAGAAGAGAAAAACTACTCAACCCATAAAAGCGAAATCACAAACGCTGTACTATACCTCAATTCCCCAAACTCCCAGACCTCAACATATACTCACCCTAAATATATAAAATTACCACAAACAGCTCAAATCAAATCCACGCCTCCCCCTCAAAAGATCGAATATAGGGCATTAGGTCTAGATATCCATGTAACATTTAACTCCTCTGACCCATCTAGTAAGTTTTCAATCTAATACAACCTCAACCTCAACCTCAAACCTAACACCACACCAAAGTTTCCTGGCATGGTCTACCAGTACATACAGTACAATAGTATGAACGTACAATAACACAGAGAAGTTATAAGGAAACCGTCAAAGACTCACGTTACTGCTTTACTTAGGACTATGTCTACAAGGAGACGCAATTTCACAGGGTTGGAGACAAATATATCAAGGTGTTCGTTATTGGAGTATCGATCGATAGAGGATTCTATGTTTGATGAGGTGGCTCAAGATTAGGTTAGGGTCATGGTTGATTTCTCGTGACAAGGGGATATGTATTGATTGCACTTTACGAGGATTTAGTGGAAGTTATACAAGTAGGAAGGGAACTAAACCAACCCACAATCCTCAAAAGCCAAAACTCTGATACTATATCAACTCCTATATCTGAACGATCATGAATTCACAAATCTATCCAATCTCATCAATTCATCCAAGCTCCAACTTGAACCATGAGAAGAACAGCTTCACAGTGGATGAGGGCGAGGATGTAAGAGCAGAGTAGGGTGTTAATCGGAACTTCTCATTCGCTGTTACGTTAAAATCAATCTCATCCATGAGAAGAATAACTGGAGACCAATCACAACAACAGTGTCTGAGAATAAGAAGACGAGAAAACCATCATCAATTTCAAGCCCAAAAGAGCGAAGCGAGGATGCGCTAATTAACCTAACCAACCAAAAACGAAGCTATCGAAAGCCCAACTTTACCATATCATTTCAATAAAGAAAGAAAGATGGTGCGTTATAGAGTAAAAGAAATCCCAAAGGGCTCAGCAACCCCAAGAGTGTCCACATCCCTCATACCCTTTTCCATCAACAGTCCAAAATGAACCATCGACAAGAAAAGCGCCGAGACAGAGAACACACAATCTAAGCATCCCCAGGACAAGCACCACAAGGTCTCCCATCGGTAACCTCCCACAACGTCTCGTAGTTGGTGTACACCGACGGCTTACACGCATCCAAGAAATGGGTTCCCTTCCCCATCGCGACGGACACCTTGAGTTGTGGCATATTCTCTCGCGGCACGACTCGTCCGTTGGACTAGATTCAATTCATCAGTCTCAGTCTCAGCCACCCACCCTCATCCCCTCTACATCCCCTCCACTCACTGCAGGAAAAAGAAGAAGAAGAAACTCACATCAATAATCCTCCAATGCAACTCCGTCCTCAACCACGCACTCACGGCCTCCCGTCCCATCCCCTCCAGCGTACACGCCGAGCTCCGCACCTTATTAACCAGGAAATCCGTAATGATGATCTGGCCGGTACTCAAGTCACCAAACTCCTGGGCGCGCGCGCAGGCGTCGCACCCCGAGGTGCGCATCCCGCGGAACTCGGCCGGCGAGGAGAAGTTGTAGATCAGGCCGACTTCGTTGGGGCAGTTTTGGATGTCCAGTTGGTCCCATGGGATGACGGGGGAGGCGGCTGCGCCGGTTGCGCCGGAGGGGGGGTCCCAGCTTGGGACTGGGTGGGTGTTAGTGCGCAGTTTTGATATGGGAGAGGGGGTTCAGGTAGAGGAAAGGGAGAGGGGGCTTAGTATAGGAAAGTGATACTGACCACCGCCGAGGAAGATGAGGATACGGAAAGGTTGGCCGCCGAGGGCGTATCTGGATGAGAATTAGCATGCTTAGTTCCTTCCAGGACGAGCAGAGGTAAAAGAACCGATCATATTTGACATTGACGATGTAATCATGTGCCTCCCAAGAAAGAGTCGGAACAGTGCCTTGTCCCTGTGGTGGTGGCTTAGGAGCCCCTACTTGGGTAGCATTGAAGCCCGTAAGAAGACCTACGCCAATCCCCGCGACACCAGCCAAAGTATTGACAACTTGGCCTGCAACATTACCGGCTTCTTTGATGGTGTTGCTCAAGTCGACGAGAGCCGGTGGGAAACACTCGATCTTCAGATTGTCGGCTGGCACGGCTTGCATCACTTGCTGCGCAATGTTTTCGTAGCCTGGAAGTGCGCAGACGTATTTGCCGGTGGAACTGTATTTGAGCTCGACAGTGGTGCGGACAGCTTTCTCGAACTTGACCTTGTCGAATTTGCCACCGGTTTGGTAGATTGGGAGCCATGTTTGTAGCTCTGGGTATGTATAGCCGAGCCTGAAATGGTCGCGGGCTTGAACTGATGTCCACTGCCAAAGAATCAGTATGAGAATGCAGTGAGTTTGAAGAATAATCAACTTCATTCTAAGGAATCAAAGGTATGGGCAATACTTACAGGGGTGCCATTAGTATCCATCTTGAAAGGCAAAAGAGGAGTATTAGCATCAACTTTTCCCCGAACCTTATCTTCATAAGGCTCGACATATTTGTCAGGATACAAAGCCTGCCAGAGGGCGAAGATGCGATCAACATTGCTGGAAACACATTAAATCATCTGTTCCGATAAAGTGGCTTGGAATGCCATCTACTTACTTATGATGTAACCTGTAGCCGAAAAGTTAGCGAGATGACCAGCAAATATTGCAAGGAAAACTCACCAGAAGAGGGGATCAAAAGCCGCAACACCAACATTTCCCATATGTCCAGTTCCACCACCAAACACATGTATACTACCATGAATAGCCTCCAATGAAGCATAGGTTTGACCAGTCTGCCCAGGTTGGTATCCCAGAGTAGCAAATGCATTCCAATTAGGGATGTATTCTTCCAGGAAGAGACGGTAGACCGATTCGGGGAGAGTAGTGGTATAGCTCCCATCCTTGATCCCGTTACGAAGTTCCTTAGTGATGGGTTCGTGACGTTGCTTATCGCCCTTGACCCAAGAAGATTCAAAATTCGGGTTAGTAGGATCAATGGTCTCGGGATGTCGGACGGATGCTTTGCCAAGATCGAACTATGCGTGTTAGAGAAGTATTGTGGTTTGAGTCGCCGTCAACTCACATGAAATAATGTTCCTTTGTCATTAGGATCATTGGGATCCATTACGACAGTTTCTTTCTTGACGCCATAATGTCCAAAGGTGGGTTTGTCAGGATGGATCTGAGGCAGATTGAATTTCCACATAGGGTTATCAACAAGTGCCACACCAGTCTTAGTTAGAACCTCAACCTGGGGAACGGTGATGATGTACGGGGCATTAGGACCAAACTTCGAGGGATCATTGGGTGCGCTCCAATCGGGTTTCTTCTCAGCCCAGTCCCAGTATGGAAGACGCCAGGTATCAGCAGCATGGATTAAAGCAGCATGATCCTGAGCAGCAAAAGTGGTGGGGATTATTTGCTTCATAATCTCGTAGAGTCTCTGCTCGTAAAGAGCAACGTAGGGACGATGCCATGGTGGGAAAGTGACGTTGCCGTGGACACAGTACCAGTTTGGGTCTTCTGGGCCCGAGTCATCCCAAGGCTGTACAGGCTGGCCGTGGATTCCTATCTGACATTAGACTTGATCAAAGAGAATTTCTGGATGCGACTAACCTGCCACGGCGAAGTATGATTTGATGTCATTTGGGTCAATCTTCATGAATTCGGTCAGGGCATAGATAAACAATGATCTCTGGTAGAGATCATTCCTGTCGCTGGAGAACCACCACTCGTCGACCTCACGACGGAGTGGGACACTTCCATTAGGCCCTTTGCCTGCTTGGATACCAGTGATTGCATAACTAGAAGTAGACATGATGGCGTACTCAATTCTCTCTGGAAGTCTTTATTTGCAAGGAGAATTAAGGAAACGAGAGATCTTTGAAGAGGGATGTATTCTGCCTGGAGCCAGTTCACATCTTATATAAATCCACTGTGCCACCATAGACACGGAGACTTTCGATTCGGGACACTCGTGGGAGTCAGGTTCTGATTGTGACGAAAGCAATAAAGCCCCTCAACAAGGTAACTACATTGACAGGTACATTGGCATCACAAACACAAAGGTTGCACCCGCAATGTGCATTTGCACCACCCNCCCCCCCCCCCCCCACAACTCTTTGATGCTATACCTGCAACCAATCATCCCAACCAAAAGACGAGGATCAGAAACACAGCACTTATCTTGTTCATCCCACCAAATCACAACCTCACCCGGCACCACCGATCCATCATTTCACTTCCCTTCCCATCTTCGAATCCCAAGTCAATGGAACAAGGATAACTTGTGGTGAGAGTTGATAGAGATTTCCCGCAGGCCAAAGACGCACATTTCTCTCGAGAGAAAGCCAGTGGGCGACTCCCCAGAGAATGCAGTGTAAAAGCATAAATAAAAGCCATCACATCCTCGCCCCTTACCCCTTCCCACACTCTCCAATCCACCTGCAACTTCCGATTCGTCCACAATACCTCCTGTATCACGTGGAGCCACTTAAAGTCGGACCAAAAGAGTCTTCTGATTCGGATTCAGGCAGTACAGTACACAAAACCTCTGTACACAGCGGGGTATCCTTCCAAGCCTCGGAAGCCTCGGAAGCCTAGGTAGGTACAGTTCAAAAAAACCATCGTTCGAGTTTCATTTGGTGACTGAAGCCCCGCATTGCGCTGGTGTTGGTGTTGTCCATCAGATACAGTAGGGTACAGTACAGTGTGCGTAGAACCTGAGCAACCTGAGCCCGCTGAGCGGCAAGGAAACTCCAAACCAGGTATATGGCGGTACACAACACTTAAAAGTGTCTTGTCAACCCAGGGACCTGAACTAGATAGACTTGTATTTAGCACACGCCGGCCGGCATAAGCTGAAAATGCTTGGATCCGAGTATGAATAAAATAACAAAACAAAACAAATATGACGGCATACAGGAAACAACAACGTAGGTAATGAAGAAAAACAAGAAAGAGAGGGTTGGTTCCAAGCCCCAGAGGAAAACGCAATGATTGCAAGCTCAAGAGGCTAGGTACACAAAGAGGGGTTCCCAGTCTCAGCCTTACGCTACGCCAGAACTGAGAGGCTGGGACTGTGTACGCTGAAGCTGCTTCCTTCCCGAAATCTCTCTCGAGACCAAAGGTATCGTATCGCTCTGGACAAGAATTCATCTATCAACCTACCATCATTTCCTAGCACCCCACGTAGACGCAGAAGAGGAAGAAATTTAAAACGATATCCTCAGACAACCCTCCAACCCCGCATTGCACAGTACAGTACAGTACCAGACACAGACAGACTCGAGAATACAAGGACCAACCGACCCGCTTGGGAGAAGGAGTCGTTGATCCATGGTTACTTTCTGCACCCCCACGTACAATAGGTAGACGTAGAAGAAAGAAAACGATCTGTCTGGGATGGAATCCGATCCTGCAGCTTTAGGGAGGCAGGATCCAATTCCAACCAATAGAAAGTCCGTCATCGACAACACTCGTTGCAACTCGTAGCGGGCGGTCCCTTGGTGTGACTTCCATTGCTGCCCTCTTCTGGCATCGTGCGTTCCATTCCACACACAAGGAATCAAAAACCCAGCACAGGTGTAACTGCCACAACCTACTGTACCAACTGCAACCGCCAAACCCCAAACCAAGGGAAAACAATGAAAAGATCGTTCGCTCGAAAGCGACTTATTTTACGCGTTTTTATTGAATTTCTCGCTTCTATAAACGCACGAGGCGGTTAACGTTAACAATAAATACTATCTACAAAGATCCACCCCCAATATCTTCTCTTTTCTGCTATATCTTACTCCCTCCCAACTCGCAATGAGAAGTGGAAGAAGTAAATGCATACAAACGTATCCGTGTTTTCTCGTACTCCATGCCTCGCCAAAGAGGCCCCGAAAAGTATTAACGCCATACCCCAGCCCGGTACACCACGCTTCACGCAATGCATTGAAGGTAGAAAATAAAATCATCGAAAAAAAACCACCCGGCAAAATGCAACCGATCACACAAGTGAAAAAAAGTATTCCCACACCGGCTTGGACCATTTCAATCCCAACTGCCGTCAGGAGTTCATTATATCATTCTTAATCATCTAGCGCCCGTTTTTTCTTGCCCTTTCCCTTCGCTTCACCCCTAGTTTGACGCTCTTCCTCCACTGGTGGCGGGACAACCTTCTTGGTTGGCTTTCGTGATCGTGGTTGTTCCGAGTGCAAGTGTCCCAATTCCTTCATTGCCATACTATTGTACCAAGACAGGCAGCGATGTGTAGAGTGATCGGCGTGTACCTCCTTCTTCCGAGTCGAAGTGCGTTTGTTATCAGATTCCACAGACTCTTCTTCTGATGGGTTCAAGTATTCCTTACGCATCTCCATATGTTTGACAATTCTATCGCGGTAGCTTTTCAGCTCCTTGCTTAGTTTGACTTCATTGATGCCACGAACATCGAGCCACTTGATCAGTCCATCGACTGCTTGCGGATCTTCGTAATAGCCCCACTGCCGTGCGTTGAAAACATTTGTAGAGCCCTCCTCAAGCACCTTGCGTTCTGGTACGCTCATATTGAACATGGACACGTACTCCTTCTGCCATTCTTCTTTCATCTCGATGTAACCAAGCCGCTCCATATCATCAGGCCCTTGCACCCAGATGCAACCATTTGCATATCCGGCTTTATCAGTGGATGTCTCTGGGAGACCCTCAAACGGCATTCCATTGCGCTCAAACCAGTAATAACGATTCCAGAACCTATCTTTACCGAGTACCTTTGTTCTGGGGCAATCCGCTTCTCGCAAGTCGTTTTCCAGGTCTGTGATTTTTTCCTCAGCCTCTCGAATTGCGTCTTCTTTCTTCTTAATGTCTTTCAAGAGTTTCGTGAATTGCTTGGATTGCTTGGGCATTTTCGCCTCGGCTTCGGCTCTCTCTTTCTTTTCCTGTTCGGCCTCACGCTTTCGCTTTCTTTCATTCTCTCGATCAATACCACGGCGGAGAGAGCGACCTATTTGGGATGGGTCGTCGTCAGTGTTCATTTCATCCTCGACTGAATCTTGGATTTCTTCCTCAACGCCTGTCATTGCCGTATCGCCATTGCTGATAGTCTTGGGCTCTTGGACGGGAGATGGTGGCATATTTGTGGGAAGTTGAATTTTTCTCTCCTCGTTAAGAAGTCGTAATTCTTCCATACTGCGCTTGTTAGAATGACCTGACCACTACAGCTAATCTCAAACTTACAGTTGCTTTCGCTCTCTCTGGAAGGTGATCTTTTGTTTGCGAATGTCGGTCATAACCTCACTATTTTCCTCCATGTACCCACGTACACCTTTAGTTTCAGCGGTGAGTAGGCACAAAGTCTGGAGAATCGAGATTCGTTCATTAATGTCGAGTTTGGCGTATTGCGCGCGCGCAGTCTCAGGAGTTGGTTCCAGGTTCAATGGTGCCAAGTGTTCTAGCAAGGTGTCGTATTGTCCCTGGGCACGTGCTCCTTTGGAAAGTTGATGAAGCAATCCAACTACGATGATTTCCCAGCCCCCATTTTTGAAATCTCTCTTTCTCAAGCGGTCAATCCAATTAACCTCTACCTGCATATCAGCTGCACGATGGAGGATTTTGACTTCCTCTTCGGCAGGTTCCGGATTTGCCTCTGCTTCCAATCTAGCTGCTTCAGCGGCTTCAGCCTCTGCTTTGGCCAAACTGCTTCTAGTTGCGCGTCCTCTGGGTTTGATCTCGGGTTGCGGCGATGGTTCTGCTTCAGAAGTAGGTTCTTCATCCTCATCCTCTTCACCTTCAACCTTCATTTGTGGGAGTTCAACATTGATCTCACCACCTTCCGCTTCGGAATCAACGAGCACTTTCAACACCGCGCAATGAATCTCCACGAAAAGCTCACAATCAACGTCTTCTGAGGAAAATTGCATCGCCTCAACGAAATCATCAAACGTAAAAGAATCTAATTTGAATACGGTGCAGTATACGTTCAACGTGTTCCAAGCTTCGAGAAAGGCGCCGACAGACTTCATTCTGATTCCATTTCCTTTCCGAATAACACCCGATGGCGAATCTTGAGAGAAAAATTTCAAGGGGGGGCGTTTTGGAGCGTCAGGTCGTGGTGAAAGTTTTAAATCCTCAATAGGATATTTAGGCGGTGGTGGTGGTGGTGGAGGCTGTGGTAATGCTGCTAAGGGTGCAAATCCAAACGGTGTGTTGTTCTGAAAGTTGGCGTAATGAGGTCCAGCTTGAGAAGGTGCCCCCGCGGGAAAGGTGTGAGAGACAAAGGGTGGAGGAGGTGCGAATTGAGGAGGGATTCCTTGGTTCAGAACTGGAAGAGCTGGATTGGGGTTTAGGTTGGGAATCGGTTGGGCAGGAGCAGGATTCAAAGATGGCTGCTGCTTACTCTTGATTTGAGATTGCTGTGCTTTGCTCTTATGACTCTTGGGTGCCGGCTTCAATTCTGGTAGTCGAGCTTGTTGACCAGCATTTCCCTGAAAACTTCCAGCCATTCCATCATAGTCCGGGCCGCTTCTCTTTTGCGCCTGATTCTGCTTTCTCTCCGCGATTTTGCTCTCCTGTCGAAGGTGTGGGGGAATGCGAGTATCGATGTGCCAGAGATTCGCTACCTTCTCCTTCACCAACCAAGGCGCCCCAGTCCATGCCTCTCTTTCAACGGTTTTCTTGATAAATGATCGCAAAACTTGTTTTGTGAAGATCTTTCGGTCCCGAATAATATGCTGATCATCCACCACTGCTTCTTCATTAGGCCGATTATCGAGGCTGACGAAATACCGTGAGAATGGCGGGCTGACTGTCCCATCTGGCATGACCTTGCTTCCAAATCGCGTCTTATCTCTCACAATGCCTTTAAGCCTTTCGCCCGTAACCACATGTACCATCACAGCCTCTCCAGGATAATAATCGGCCTTGAATTCATCGTAAATCAAATCTACTAGCGTATCGATTCGGGATATAGTTTGAAATTGGACTCGACGTAAGATTGGACCTTTGAGGGCTTCTGGGAATGCCTGTTCGACTTCTTCTGCTCCTGCTAGCTAAAGATTGGTTAGTATCTGGTATGCGACCGAACTTCTCTAAATCCTCACCTCGCTCTTAAGCGCCTCAAAGAATGAAAGTTGAGAGTGGCCAGTGATCGGGCAGATGAACTTGCGCTGTAGGATGTCAGTGGTAGTTTCAGCCTATTTGTTATATTGATTTCGAACCTGCTTGTAAAAGTCCATCCTAAAGTGAAGATTAGTATACTAGTGCTACATAAATGACTTGGGCGCATACCGGGCCAGATAGGCTTCATAGTCGATAAAAATCTCGCCCGTCTGGGGAACCAACCAAACCTGTCATGGGCGTCAGTGGGAGTTTGGTCAAGTCGGCCAAACAAGGTCTGTCTTTACCTCCTGATCCTCATTTTCAATCTTGGGATTTTTCGCATACGGCACCGGTTTCCGCTTGTAGAGCACCTGGGAAGATTAGTCGTCATGCGCTTAGGGTGTATTCTGTCCAAGCAGAAGAAAAAACATACCATATTGGCGCGTGATAGTGGCCCAAGCCGGACGACGTTTGGGTAGTCTCTAGAGTAGGAGTGTCAGAATATGGAATGCCCCTCAATAGACGAGATATATTGAAATATCAGTCGGCTGGACGAAGATGAAGCGCTGGGGTGAAGAGTTGCTGTACATGGACACACCAGCAATCACCCAAGGCTGCTCACGGCAGTGGAGGTGGAGCGGAGGCTGAGTTGCTCGCCGGTACTTGTGGATATGGGGGTGAAGGTGAACATCAATCTCCAAACTTACTGATATCTGCTCTCGACGCGTCGATGGACTTTCAGACGTGTTGGAGGAATCGCATGAAGCGTGGATGCTTCGCGGGTGGCGTGGTGGTTGTGGGCGATTGACAGCGCAGGTGAGGAGAAATGTTGACAAGTGGTGCGCGTTGAATTTTGTGGAAGGTCTGGGTAGAAGAAGGTCGGGGAGGAGGTGCTAGTGGGTTTGGCTAAGGTTGGCCCGGCCGGAGCGATAATCCTGGTCGGCTATCCTTGTCCCTCCAAGGGGGTGTCTGAGTAAAGGGTTCGGTTCGCCGGTCGTCCTCCTCAGCACTTCTCTCCTTTGGGGACTATATATCTATACAAAATATAGGTGTCGTTCTCAGAGTCATCCAGAAAAATCTGTGACTCCGCGTCTGGACTTTTCCTGCATTTTGGGGCCCAAATTTGCTGTTGTTCCTATCGATTAGCTTTCGAGTGCCATTCGGCCCACGAAAAGGCTCCCCCCCTGATGCACTCACTTGCTTAAAGCGAGCATGCGAACAACAATAACTTGAAACCACCCACGTTCTTGGGCTCGTTGGGATGCTGGAAGCAAGCTCTCTCGATCAAGTACTTGATTGTATGTGTTTCAGAGATCCGGCTTCTATTATGTACCGATATAAACTTTTCGTGGTCGAGAAAATCGTGGTAGGCTTCAAAATCCGCATCCACCTCGACAAAACCCCTTGACATCAAGTATATTTGCATGAGAACCCCGTCATGCAGTGTATGGAAATGATTCCTAGATATCTGATACGATTTCTGATCGCTATATACACTCATATTTCGTGGTGATGGTACTTGCAGACTTAATATAGTCCCAAGGCTATACACCTAGTCCCCCGCTCTCCATATGACCTATCATTCCTCTGCACCAACAACCATCCCCTCAACTAATCAAGAAACCCATCCAAGAATCCACAACAACCATCAGACTGATCTCCCAAAAACAACACCAAGCTTCACGATACTTTGTGGCTTCCTCACAACACGCGCGTACCTGAATATCGCGACTCGCTAGGTAAGCCCCTCCTTTTCAGGGGTCCGAGGCGGCTCAGAACCGAAGCTGCAAAAAATGCGCCATCGTCAAAAAACACCAATCTCCAGATTTGCAAAGCTATTGGTGGAGGTCGACTTCTACGCACTTCATTCTTGCCAATCCCCCATTTGGGGTTTGGGAAAATGCTGCAGGTCGGGTGCCAACACCACAGCCCCAGGAGCGGTGAACTAAGCTAAGCTAAGCGCCCCACGTACAGTAGGGCAGTTCTTATGGACAAAGGTGGGAATCAAGCAAAGTTCTGTAACTATTTATTTCCTATTAGTGATATACATTCTACAAAATCCAAGATCCCTAGAAGCAAAGCTCTAATATTCGAATCTCACCTTTTAAACATCACACGTGATCAACCTCCACTCATTCTCGGCTCCGTTCCAAAAAGACTCCACCACCTCCATTTACGTGCACGATGCGACAATAATCCTCATGATCTTCCTCACAACCACACAAATCCATCATCACCAGAAAAATAACAATCGGCCAATTTCGAACATTTTGCACATCTAACCGACAAGATTCGGGTAATTCAGGGGTTGCAGAGCAGGTGGAAGTCCTCTTCAAGTACCGAAATTCCCATATTTTCGCACCACAACACGTGTGTTGGATGCTATAAGCATCCCATTTTTTATGGGATGGGAAGGGGATAGCGTATATGTGGATATTTTGGTTTGGGTGTATTGTCCTACACCAGTGCAGCCTTGGGATTTGATTGGATGTGAGCGCCCCTTGGAGATAAACTGTTAGCTTTAAGTAGTGGTACAAAGATAGAATAGAGATATATCATATGATTTCTTATGTATACGTACAGCATCCGCGTAAAAGTAGGAAGATGTTTAAGACTATGGAAATGGTGGGAATAGGTAGTTCACATAGAAAATATTTTGCAAGATACCTACCTGGCAACACACTAGTAAGATACTCTAGAATCATGCTACTTCTGCAAAGGGGCTATAATGTAATGTACTCTAAACCCAATAGTCAAGAATACAAATATCTCTGTCTACCCAATCCATCCCATACCTCCTCAACCCACATCACACCATAGCATTCCCACAGAGTACTAACAACCAGCGACAAGCCCACCAATCAAAGCGAACACATCCAATCAAGCATCTCCACCCATTCACTCATCTCAGCCCCCTCCACTCTCCTCGCCCCCCAACAAGCCATTTCCCCTAAAAAATGTTACATGTAACCGCCTTCATTACAATAGTCTATTAGCACAATCACCTTAACAATCCACTCACTTACCCACCTTCAACAATCTGACTCTAATCGTCATTTCTTTCCTTTTCATTATTTCCTTCCCACAAACTTTAACCTTCCACACCCTCCCCCTTCCCTTTCCCCAGATATACCCCTCCCCTACCTACATACCTCCCCACCCAAGCCAATCTCCTGACCAAAAGAAAGAAAGTGAAAAGAAGAAGAAGTAAGTCTGAGAAACAAACAAACAAAGCGAAGAACTACTTCCTTTATACTACCAGCCTTTTCCCAATGATACAATAATATAACGGTAATTGACTGAGATGCCCTTATATATATTACAAATACCTAAGATACGCCTTAAATTGTACCCCTTAAATTCAAGGGTATCTCGGTCGTAAAATAAGGGTATATTGGTTAATTTAAGTTAGGTTAGAAATTAGGATTCTTGCTATTTAAATAGACTAATATAGTAATGCAGGTAAAGAGTAATAAGTAAAGTAGATTAGTAATTTAGTACTACCTATATACGACTTCGTAAACTAGTTCTCGTCGCTTTTGGTAGTAGTTGACTCGAATCCTTTCTCTTCCGCTTTTTATTCGTAACTCTACTTAAATTAGCCTTAATTACTTATTCCTAAGCAATATCCTCGTCCTAAGCGATTTCCTCGTCCTAAGTAATACCCTCTTGAGCAACACCCACCTATACGATACCCTCGTCCTGAGCAATACCCTCGAGTAATACCCTCTTAAGCAACACCCACCTGTGCGATACCCTCGTCCTGAGCGATACCCTCGTCCTGAGCGATACCCTCGTCCTGAGTAGTATCGGTCTGAGTAGTAGCTCTAGCCCTAGCTAGGTATAGTACCTGCACATGTAAGTAATGCGGGGTTAAACTCCCAGGTGAATACAAATCTTGAGCCTAACTTACCTAAAATACTACGATATTCTTTTAAAATTCACTACTAAATTGACTGAAATGCCCCTGTTTTACGACTGAGATGCCCCTGAATTTGGGGGGCACGATTTAGGGGGTATCTTAGTCACAAGCGAATTATTTTAGGGGTATCTTAGGTATTCATAATATGTATAAGAGCATCTCAGTCAATTACCGATAATATAAACAACAACAAATAACAATACAACACATCATATCCCCAAGATACCTTAAGAACCCCACACCTTCAAGAAGAATCATACACAACCACCAAACTATCCAACAACAACAACAACAAACAAACAAAACCACAACCAACCAAAACCACAACCCTCACCCCTACCCCCAATAATCCTCAGTAATCTCCCATCAAACCAAATCAAATCAAACCAAACCAAACCAAACCCTCTCCCACCCCTCTCCCTCTTCCTTCCACCTACCTACCAGTCCCAACCTACCAACCCACCAACCTAGCACCAACCTATCCCCTCCCATCCCCTTTCACGTAAACACCAGTCCTACCCACATCCAGATCCAACATCCTACATCCAACATCCTACATTCTCCAAAAAAAAATCCTTCAATTCAACGTCCTTTCAAAAGCTCCAGCAAGCAAATCACTGTACCTGTATATCTCATTTTTCTGATTTCTTTTTCTTTTTAGATTTACCACCTACTTACTTACTGTCTCAAATACAACCCCATACTACTGCTTGTATACTACTATGCAGATAAGTCCATAAGTCCACAACCCAAGTCCAAAATCACCACCACCCCCCATTCCCCCTCTCCCCTTCTCCTGCC